GAAATTTTTTTAAACTGGAAGTACATTCAATGTCCAACAATGTAAGAGCTAAATACATTCTGATATATTGATGTAATGGAATACTATGAGGAATATAAAGAAATATAGAAATATATGCATTATGATAATGCAAAGAAAAAAGCAGAAACAAAAGAACAGAATATACACAATCATAAAGAAAAAAAATGGGAAAGAGGCAAAGAAACTCTTGAGAGACACAGTTGTGACATTTTATATAGAGAAATTCATTTGTTTAAATTTAAAGCAAGTTTAATTGATTGTATTGATATTTAATATTTATAATAAATCTTTTAAAAGGGATCTCTACCTCTCACAGCTATCCAATTAAAAGTAATATGGCTATCTCTACCCACTCATTAAAAGACACTCAAACATAAACCTAAAGTATTACTTTTACCACCTGCTTTTAACATTGTTCCTAGTACAATGAATTAGTTTCCCCGGAACCTAAATATCTTATATATTGTATACACTGTAATAATTAACTCATACACAAATATGGACATAAAAACTGACAAGAATTTTTCTACAAGGTTAATCATAGAAAAAGGTAGTTTTAAATTAAGCCTTAACTTGTAGCTGAGAAATTTCAACATGACCTAGCCCACACTATGACTCCATGATACTTAGTCTACAAAAAAAAAAAAAAGGAAAATTGTTTAGCATCCTTTATAAGCAGTTATTTTAAAAGCCAAATTAAAAAGACAGTCAAGGGGCTGCCTTACTATATCATATTTTTTTAGAATTTGAAATGTCAGTTATGAGGAGACTAATTAGCATGAAAGCTATCTTTTCTTAACAAGGATGTTAAAAAGAACTTAGTTATATCACGTTTCTAACTACTACATTTCTTCTCCTGTAGTAAAGACAAAAACGTCTCTCACAATATACCCAGAATTCTTAGAGAGACTAATAATCTCTGTCTGCTTTAGAGACCCTTGGCCACACCCAGACAGCAACCTGAGTTTTTTTTTTTCCAAATTCAGAAATAGAAACCTAGGACCATTCTCTAGAGATGGGATGACTTTGAATGAACAGAGCTAATTCACTTTCAAATTCAACCAGTCTGACCATGATCTCAGTTTAAAAGTGGGTGAAGTGGTAGTCTGAAATAGGGGAGGCCAAAGAGGAAAGATACTTGGAGAAATCACTGTGGGTAGAAGGGAAGAAAAAAAGGCACAAAAAATATTTGTGAGGGGAAAGAAATAAAGGAGAAGATATGGGTTTCTAGAAATTGGAAATGGCTAATATATAAAGGTACCAAGAATGACAATCACAACATACTCCCTTCTTAATACCCTAAAGGGCAAGCCCAAAATAACAATAGATAACAATATGAAAATAAGAAAAAATTTCTGGCCAGGCTGGGCACAGTGTATGGACAGTGGCTGCTAAGTGGTTTGGGGCTATTCTGCAGCTTATGTTCTTTTTAATTTTTATGTTAAGGCATTTCAAAAAATCAAAAAGGCTTTTGGTTTCGTTTTAGAAGCAAAAAAGTCTTAGGAACACAATATTTTAAAAATAAGTTCTTTTCTCCCAAGTTTCTAAGAAAAAATGGCTAACGACACTATTTAATATCTGAAGGCTACACTGAGTAAAAAACATGAGTAATGAAATACAAGTTCAGCATAAGTTTTAAGCAGATTATCAAGAAACACTGGATAACTGAACAGTGATAAAAAATTACCAAAAAGATGTTAGCAAATTTCACTAATCTGGAATTAAATTAGACAAGGTCTTTAAAATTATAATACAAGGAATCAAAAAAAAGAAGTAATCCAGTTATGCCAAGAACATCCAGGGATCTCAAGTCACTTACATAAACACTCTATTAAGAGTATTTTCCAAACTAATTTGTCCAAAGAACACTCTCTACCTATGTAGATCTACTGACAGAAGACAAAAATGTTGGTCTAAGGAACTTGAGAGTTATAATATCTCGAGGATAAAAGGATGTTGGGAAAATTTTAAAACAAAATAAAGGAAATCAAACTTTTTTAATAATGAAAAATTATAACAAGTATTTTAACACATACACAATTTCACAGTAACTATTTTATACAGGGAAAAATATCAGCATCAAAATTTGCTTACAAAAACCTCTATTCACATGCTATAGAATACCAGAATCTCATAGAGCACTATTTGGAAAATGTTTATAAGAACACTTTACATGTAACACAGCTTCTATATTTGAAGGGCTCAAACCTCTCCAAAAATTTTATCCATTAGTTCTCTCATCACTATCATATATTCCATATATGTCTTTTCCTTCTGCACCATCAAGGCATGGAGGTGGCTTTGATTTCTTGAAGGCTATGACAGCGAAATACAATTTCTGGCAGATTCTACCCAACTAAAGGGGAATTGAGAACAGTGCCTGGAAAAGACTATGCTTGCTGCCCAAAGACCTGGTTAAGTTTGGTAAGACCAGCCACCAGCAAGGTAATCAGCAGGTGATTAATCCTTAATTTTGAATTCATGAAACAAAAATAAAAATAACTTTATTTGTCTGATACACCCCTTCCTTCAGCTTCTTCAGTGACATCAGCAGAATGGTGAGAAAGGAAGTGGAAGGTGTTGGGGGGTGGAGAAGGGACAGAACTGCTAAAAAAAAAATCATAATTGTTAGACTCAACATATATATTAGTTTAACTACTGGAGCTCTAAATATAAGACCTCTGACTCATAAAAGCTGAGGGATTGTTGGAGGAACTATCTACCATCAAATACTAAAAGACTTGGAAGAAGGCCTCCAGTATGTTGGGTCAAAACTCTGGATGATTTATTTATGGGAGACATGTCCAAGAATCACATAGGATGAGAAATCATGGATAGGTTGTGATCTGGAGCAGAAGAAATTCCCATATAATAAGATGTTCCATTGAAATATTATAGAATCGAGTCAGAGTTAAAGCTCTGGCTCCATGTACATGTTGCTAACTTAAGGGAATAAACTATATGAATTTACTTATCACCTAGCTTGTTGCCTCTTTAACCAACTTTCAGGTCAACAGTAATAGTGCCATGACTTCAGATGGAACTGAAGGAGTAGGAGAAAACAACACCCCACCCTGGCAATGCTAGTGACTCGGGTGTCTCAGGATCTGTTTTTTCCTAGAGTCCTAACTTTGACAGGGTCAGGTAAGTTGTCCTATTCCCAGCTTCCATGGACCTCCCACTAGTTTGGCTGAAGTCTGAAAAAATTCCCTTTACGCTAGCTCTGGGTTAGGGATCAAGTCGAGGTTCAGAAACTCCATTACTGTATATGTTAGATACCCTCTGGTAAGGATCGATCTAGGGAAATTGGCTGTGGGTCAGTCAGAAACTAAAACCAGAAATCTGGCTAACAAGACCGCCCCCTCTTACATCAAGCCATTGACAATCTGGTAATCACAAATTCTGCCAGCACTGATGTCAGTTAGCTAAAGATAGCCCCAAATTATACTGGCCACAATAGGGGTTCTTTTGACCAGTCAAAATTACTTTATCTTAAAACCAAATTAAGTTTCAAAGCCAACAAAAAAAATCTAGCCAGGAGTGGGAATGTTTTCATCTTTGGGTTGCTGAGATGGCTGAGGGAGAAGGAAAGGCAGAAGCCTCTTCCCTTAAAGCTCACAAAGCCGCTTCAGCACTCTTTCCCAGGCTCCAAATAATCCCTTTCCCCCTTCCCGTTCCCTTAAAGGCTATGGTCCTGATAAGGACTCAGGAACTTAACTTCATTGGGACTTGCCCCTTTAAATGTACAACCTCAGGGGCACTTTGAGGAAGGCTCACAAGATACAGTTACACTATCAGGTCTTGGATCCTTGCAAATTCCCCAACCCCCTGCCTCGGAATAATAATAAATAGCCAATTTGTGTTGGCGCTAATTCCCTCTCTCTCTGTCATTAAGTGCACACTATGTTTGTATTGTATTTGTCCTGTCAGTCTGTCTATCAGTATGTGTCTCTGTGTTTACTAACTTAAAGGAATAAACAATATGAATTTACTTTAACAAAAAAAAAAAAGAAATATCATAGAATCACTGAGAATAAGTATGCATTATCACATTGTAATTGAGGACAGTAAGGGGCAAGAGAGTTGAATAAGACCCTGACTTGGGACTATATAGCAAGTCTGAAGGACTCCTGAAAAAGCCAATTAGTGCTTTCTCCTTTGTCAAGCAAGCTGTCCACGTATAAAAAAAAAACACAGTATTTCACAGTAAGTCTTTCATATTTTTCTGGGAATTGAGGAGAAATGTAAAAATAACAAAAAAGTTCAAGTTGAGAAGAAACTATAATGGTCACATCAAAATACACCCAATAATACATCCAAAGTTTTAGTGAAATAAAGTGACCACAACATTAACAATTCATAATCTTCCCTCCACCACACTGGGCCCCATGAAAGTGGCAAAATGCCTATATTTCTCTCTCTACTTGTCTCACTCCCACCAAAAATGGGCTTTCTATAAAATCTAATGATACTGCTTAGTACTAAGCACACTGAGAGCAGAGGTAAGGGACCCAGAAAGCACTAAAATTAAACATAATTAAAGAATTGGGAATTAACTAAATTCACTCAATTTTCTTTTGTTCATTATGACCTCCAAGTCTTTATGCTGCAATACCCTTCCTTGTCCATCTTTCCAAACTTTCTTTATCAATCATCTATTTTCTCAGAAAACTTTTTCCAAATAGGAGTCACTGACATAAAATTCTTTCTAAACTTTAGTTAGAATGTAAATAGCTTAATTTATTCAAAACCTTTACTTAATATATTTTATTAATATCTATGCCACATCATTGTAATCACTTCTTCTATGAGGCAGTAACCAATTTCCTTTGTATAGCACATGGCATAGCTCCACATTGAGAAGGTACTTAATAAATGCTTTTGATGATAATAATTCCAGAATGGTTTATTATACATCCATCGTCAAATTTATTTTCTATTTAGCTCAAACATGTGAAAGAATTAACCATGCTTCTTACCTTGCTTCTATTAATAATGGTGTAGAAAACCATTTTGTAGTAAGAGATGTTGTAATTGCTTTAGAATCTGCCTTTACCAAGGAGATAAACAGGCACAGTGCAATCAGAATTTCCATTTTGCAGTTAACACCTAAGTGGAAAAAAAAAAGCATCAGATTTAACTGTAAAATTACATATTTTGAATGTTAAGTCTTTTAAGAAGGAAAAAGTAACAAAAATGAGGGTAAAAAAAGAAGAGAATGGCTGTGAAGGACAGCATGCAACATGGTAGAGTGTTTAGCATCTACAATATGGGTCAACAAATGACCAATAATTGACAGTCAAGCCTAAAATATTTCTTATGTGGTTTTCTTAATTAATAGTTTTTAAATAACAGTTATTTCCTAACATAACTTTCTCACTCCCTACCCCAGAAGACACTTCCAAATAGCAAAGAAAAACAATTAAGCAAAACCAACCAAAATAATCATGTCTGACCCAACATGACCCTTTTCACAAAGGTAATCTCCTATCTTTCTACCAAGAAGGAATACATAGTTCATACTGTTTGCTAGAACCAAAATTAATCATTGCAATTAATTTTAGTTCAGAGAATTTTTAATCAAGTAAATAAATAAACAAGCATTTATTAAGCACCTACCATGGACCATACATTGTGCCAAGTCTTAAGGAGACACAAAGGAAGGCAAAAACAAAAATGTGCCCTCAAGAAGGTCACATTCTAATGGAGACAACAGATACACACAAGATATATACATAAACTGGAGATAATATCAGAGGGAAGGCACTAACATGGAGGATGGCGATTGGGAAAGGCTTGCTGTAGAAGGTGGGATTATTTTAAATGAGACTTTGAAAGAGAAAGCTAGGACAACCAGTTGATTTAATGCCCAAATGGGGAGGGAGGGGGAGTAAAGTGTAAGAAAACTGGGAAGAGGCGAGGTTATCTCTCAGAACTTTCCAGGTAACTCTCTATTTTCTATCAGCAGCTACCATCATGCATCACTCAGGAAAAGCTGATCAACAGAAATCTCATCACCACTCGAATTGACTCAGTTTTGACACTCCTAACCTTTTAACTCCCTCAGTTGCCTCTCAGCTCATATTGGAGGGCTGGAAGATGGAACAATAAACTCCTTCCAAAGCCTTCCATTACAGAGGGCTCTGCAGTTTCACAACTTTTCCAGCTGACTCTCCATTTCTCCAATCAGCAACACTATCTGATTTCAAGAACATTATGCCCAAGCACCAGGGTACCACCTGATGGCCCTTCCTCCATCCCCTTTTCAGCTTCCTTTTGTGTGTTGTCGTTCCCCGTTATAATGGAAGCTCCTTTAGGGTAAGGAATGCCTAGCACATAGTAGGCACTTAGTAAAAATTTAATAAACTGAATTTAAGGGCTTTAAAATCCAGAGGATTCTATGTTTGATTCTGAAAGTAATAGGAAGCCACTAGAATTGGCGGGGGGGGACAGAAGTGAAGTGACAGGGTCAAATCTGCTTAAGGAAGGCCACTTTGGCAGCTGGGTGAAAGGTAGACCAAGTGGAGGAATAGGTAAGGAAACTAAGAAGGTTTTTTGCTACTGTTTTCATTTACATGCTGCTGTCATTAACAAAAGTATTTTTTCCTGCTAGACACCACTTAATTTCAAAGGGATACTAGGAAATACCAGCTATAAATGTGAAAAGAATTATCAGTAGCACAATGAACTTAGGGCATTATTTTATCCATTATTTAATTTTTATGACTATAGAAAAACAAGGCTGAGATAGACAAAAATTTTAATGAACAGGAGGTCTACAATGGTGGAATAAAAGGTAAATTTTAGAGACAGAAGGGCTATTAATAACAATCAAATCCAACCACCTCATTTTAAAACTAAAATAACAAGTCAAGAAACAGACTTGGCTAAATTATTTGCAGAAGGTAAGAAATATATTAAGACAGTGGATTAGAAAACAGGTATACTGAATCTCATGCAGGTTTCATTATACAATGACATCCTTGAAGAAAGTACACAGAGACTTTAAGAAGGATCCCTGGATTATTCTTGCTACAATTTCCCCTACTCTGAAGAGCTTCATTATTAGGTAGAGTTTACTAATAGCACCCTAATCAACGCTCCCCATACAATGTTTGTCTTCCTGCTCATAAAATAATTCATCCAATGACAAAAGTTTGAAGGAAAACCAGTAAATAATTACAAGTACACATGAGAAGCATTCTTTCTGGGTCTAGTAGCATGAGGTAAAGGTCAGAATTACCCTCTCAATCCAGAAGCTTGATTATGGTACACATACCAAATATTTTACACATGGATGACATGACTTCAGAGAAACATTGGTTATGGCCTCACTCTGTTAAGGGTTATATTTTATTAACATCCTACTTCAAGTGGTATCCATCGAATGAATAAATATTCATTTGTTAAAAAAAAATAAATAAATTCTATAAAAACAAAACCAAATTCTACAAAATGGAGAAGTGGATGCTTAAATGAAAACTTTAATATTATAATGCAATAAATTCAAAATTAACTGTATTTTCACTAAGAGTTTAATATTTTAATTTCTTAGCATCCATCACCCCAATTTTTTTTTAAAATGGCAAATGGCATAGATTGTTTTATTATTTTTTTCTAAAATAATATCATAACGCCCTTTGAAATGGCTGAAGATATTCTGAGATGTTGAAAAATCTGGGCTAGAAATTACTGTTACAGGCAGAATCTGTGAAAAAAAAATTTTTTTAAACTAAAAATGGATAGATAGTGCTGACAGAACTAGATATCTGAAAACAAAACCCAACAGAAAGTAAAAGAATGAAAAAGCACTACAAAAAACTGTTTAAATAAAAGTTTCCCAATTTTACTTGATTTATAGAATACATATCTCCTCCAAAGTGTATGTTTACCTGATATCTCCTCAGAGATATAGACATCATTTTCTCAAAATATACTCCTTATGAGAAAAAAAAAACAACAAATTTCCCAAATGTCACTATGAATTCAAAAGCAACAGCTAGGTCATCTGTCCTTTTGTAGCTTATCTTATAAGAGGGGAGTTGCTAGTCTAAACCTAATTTTTGCCACACTGCAATCCAATTTTCCCAGGAGATTTTATCAAATAATGAATCCTTACCCTTGTAGTTAGGGGTTTTCCGGTTTATTAAACATTAGGCTACTAGGTTCTTTTGCTTCTTTAAATTATATTCTGTAATTCTGCTAAAGTTATTATTTCCATGAATTTTAGTTGACTGTCTAAGGTTCTCAAAGTACAAAAAAGTGATAATTTTGTTTCTTCTTCACTTGTGCTTATTCTCTCAAATGATTTTTCTTACGTTGCTATAGCTAGCATTGCTAGTGCTATGTCAAAGAACAATGACAATAAACATATTTGCTTTACCACTAATCTTACTGGAAAGACCTCTAGTTTAGCCCTATTACATGTTCAATTCAATTCAATCTAATTCAATAAACATTTATTAAGCACCTACTATGTGCTAGGCACTGTGCTGAGGACTGAGAATACAAAAAGAGGCAAAAGGCTGTTCCTGCCTTCAACGACCTTTAAAGCTAACAAGGGAGTCAACATGCAAACAAATATATACAAACTAAGCTATGTACTTTAGGGCAACTAGGTGGTACAGTGGATAGAGTGCTAGGCCTAGAGTCTGGAAGACCTGGGTTCAGATGTGGCCTTAGAAACTTTTTAGCTATGTGACCCTGGACAAGTCACTTAACCCTGTTTGCATCAGTTTCCTCACCTGTAAAATGAGCTGGAGAAATGGCAAACCACTCCAATATCTTTGCCAAGAAAACTCTAAATGTGGTCACAAAGAGTTGGATACAACTGAAATGACTGTACAACGAAAAAGCTATGTACAGGATAAATATGAAGTAACTAAAAAACGGAAAGTACTGGAATTAAGAGAAGTGGGAGAAGGTTTCCTGTAGAAGGTAGGATTTTAGTTGGGCCTTAAAGGAAGCAGGGAGGTCAGTAGCTGGAACAGAAGAGGGAGAGCATTCTATACCTGAGAGACAGCTAAAGAGAATGCCCAGAGCTAAGAGATGGGAGCGTCTTTTTTGTAGAACAGCCAGGAGGACAGTGTCACTGTATTGAAGAGTAAGTGTTTGGGAGTAAGGTATAAGAAGATTGGAAAGGTAGGAGGGGGCTAGGTTATGAAGGGTTTTGAATGCCAAACAGAACATTTCCTATTTCCTACATAGGAAATACCTGGAGTTACCTGAAGTTGAGGGTGGGGGGGATGGGGCATGGAGAATGACAAAATCAGACCTTCTTTTTAGGAAAATCACTTTAGTGGCTGAATGGAGGATGGACTGGAATGGGGACAGACTTAAGTCAGGCAGACTTACCAGTAGGCTATTGCAGTAATCAAGGCATGAGGAAATAAAGGCCTGATCTAGAGTGGTGGCAGTATCAGAGGAGAGAAGGGGGCATATTTGAGAGATGTTGCAAAGGTGAAATTGACAGGCACTTGAAGATAGTGAGGAATCCAGGATAACTCCTAAGTTGTGAGCCAGAGGGACTAGAGGTGGGTGTTGCCCTTTACAGTAATAGGAAGGTAGGAGGCAGTGAGGGTTGGACGTACTGAGTTTAAGGTGTCTACTGGACAACCAGTGTAAGATACCTGAAAGGTAGCTGGATATGCAAGATTGCAGGTCATCGGAGAGAATGGGGCAGGAAAAATAGATTTGAGTATCATCAGCATAAAGATGATAATTAAGTCCTCAGGAGCTGATGAGATCACCAAGTGAACTAGCATTGAGGGAGAAGAGAAAAAGGCACAGGAAAGAACCCTGAGAGACCCCTACAGTTAAAGGGTATAATCTACTGGAGGATGCAAGAAAGGGGACAAAGGAGTGGTCAGGTAGGTAGGAAGAGGGTCAGGAGAAAGTGGTATCCTAAAAACCTAGAAAGAAGAGAGTATCAAGTAGGCCTGGTCAACAGTGTCAAAAGCTGCAGAGAGGTCAATGAGGATTGAAAAAAGGCCATTGTGGAGCAGCTAGGTGGTGCAGTGGATAGAGCTCCAGCCTTGGAGTCAGGAGGCCCAGAGTTCAAATCCAACCTCAGACACTTGACATTTACTAGCTATGTGACCCTGGGTAAG